AAAAATCACGAAAAGGGCATTAATTAGATAAAGTTGAAGAATTATTACTCCATGCATTATTTATATATATAAATATGCCCTTTTCCCCTTTTATATATACATATATAAATTTACTCTACAAATATTAATTACTCTACAAATATTAATTACTCTACAAATATTCATTTAAAGTTTTACGTATAACCCAACACTTAACAATATATGAAGTTATTATAGTTTTTTGTGAAGCTTATAATAAAATATTCTCTGCAGTCCACAGCTGCAACATTGATTGTTACTTTATAAATTTGAAATTCTGTCTCTTCGGAGTCAGTTTCAAAATTTGAATATTTTTTCGGCATTCCTTTTTTTTATAAATTGAATTGATGATTAAAGAAGAAAGTCTGTTAATATATGAAAGGTTTTTTTTCAACTATTAGTTCCTTGTTAGTTAGAAGAATTCGTGTTTTGAGTTAAGAAATGACCAGAAAAAATCTGATAGTGTAACATGACGATTGTCTGTAAAAATGTCATTCAAAATGTATTTATAAATCTGCAACTAAGGATTGCATCTATTCTTGAAATATTGCAAGCAGCCTTTTTCAAGCCAGAAACATCTCAAAAGAAGAAACTTTTATAGAAATATTAATCAATAAACTGATTCTTGTATTTCCCTTAAAGTGAAGAAAATCTAATCAGAAAACTTTGCAACTGAAGCCAATACTTCCGATTTTTGTTCAATCCTTTGGTCACAAATATATTCATTCCCATTTGTTGGATAATTTCATTTTGCAAATGAAGGGATAAGTGATGAAAATTGCAGGATGGGATGAGAGAGTTAAGAGAGAGATCGAAGGATTGCGCCCTTTTCTTCATATTTTGGCTTGTAAATATATTCATATACATATATCTCACCCTCAGCATTCTTTCTAGCAAACGTTTGAGCTAAATGGAACTTCAATGAGTTTTGTATTCCATTTCCTCTTAATACACAAATGCATGCACTTGTAAACATACTTGTCTTCATTTTCATCCTTATTTTTCAACATAGTTTCGAAACTTGTTGAAATTTCTGAAAATCTCATTTCATACTTGGCGAGAATCACTTGGCAATTTCTGTGAATCACACACCTGCACACATATTTTTGGCACACATATTTTTGGCACACATATTTTTCCACTCGAAATCGTCAATCAACAAAACAAAAAAAAGAAAGGAAGTTTAAGCGAGTGACAATTAAAATGAACAGGTGATGTGTTATTAAAACAAATTTTTTAGTGAACAGCATAGCAGAGCAGATCGATTACGGAAAATGGATGGGTACGATTGCTTCGAGGACAACTACTCTACACTTCTCATATAATAATTGCTGAGAGAAGCGCAATTTTTTAATAGCATTAAAAAAATGTATTTCCACATCTATCAACCAAAGGTTATGAAGCCTAGTTGCCCAGGCCCTTTACCTATAAAACTAAGAAAAGGTATTGGAAAAAGATGAAAAAATAGGAGATGAAAAGAAGATAATAAAGTGAAGTAAGTAAAAAAGACAGCATCTTCATTGTTCTTATCTACTGGTTTCATATACTGCTTCAGATAATTCGGGGTGTCAAATTCCTGTCCATCTCATCATTATTAAAGGAATGGAACAGTGAAAGAGGTCCTTTTTCTCATCCATTCTTTCCTTAAAAATATCAATAATGCAACAGCAGAGTATATTTACATTTAGTATTCAACTTCGACAATTATCAAATTGCTGCAGTTTGAAAAGCTGGCTTTTTCGTCATCCCACACTAATACTATTACTGACTCATCTGTAAAATGTAAATTGCTGTCACCTTCAGCGTTCAATCGAGCTCTAAAGCCGAATCTTCACTTTTATTAAAAAATAGTTTTTAAAAATTCTGATGCATCAGATTAATAAGCAGAAAAGATTTGAAGCAGCAGCATGAAGTTCTTTCTTTTCTATCCCATTTTTGTGCTAACTGCATTTCAGAACAGAACAATTGTAGGACAGACCACTAACTGAAACTAATCGGTAGGTTAAAGCAGTACGAATATTCAAAGGAATCCCCACGTTAATGAGATGTAAGATTATTAGCATATCTCTCATAGACCTGTAGTATGAATAAACTCATCATTACCGTTCATTTGTGGATCACTAATGACCTCATCCGGTTATTTTACAAACTTTATTAGATCCTATGGAAAATTTTCATAATTTTTAGCCTTATGCATGTCAAATTATTGAAGAAGTACAAAATGCTAGAGTAATAGAAATCTCACCTTCAAAATCAATTGAACTTCAGTAACTGATATAAAATAGTTTTGTGCTATTAAAGAATCACTTCATTTTCTCCGCCGGCTTTATGGCCATTCTGGATTAACAACGTACAACCAGGATTTCAAAATGCTTGTGAAATTGGTTGCTCGTGGGAAGTTTTTTCGGAAGGAAGTGACAATCATCAGAATTTTATAAAACAAGAATATTTATATGTCAACAGGGACGATATCATTTTTTCCATTTCTTTTTTTTTATTCACAAAAAATATCAGTGTAAAGAAACTAGAAATATGTCTGCTAGATAATCTTATCACAATTTCCGTAAACTGACATATCTGTTTTAAATTTTGATCCCAAAGTCTTTCTAACGGGGAAAAAAACTATGTTAAAGTTCTTTCTCGAAGCAAATAAATTATTCATTATCTTTCTGCATTTCTAAATCTTGAACATTACAAAATCTCTTTATATTAGCACTCATAATTCGGATATAATTATTTGTGATTGATTTTCTACCATTAATTTTGCTTTCCACATCAGATATAAGTTCAAAGATACTAAAAAATTCAGCTTAATGATTATTGATTCGCTTTTTTCGACATGAATTGTTAAGCAAAAAAAAAAAAAAAATCCATTTTAATTGCAGGATCAATGCTACGATGAAACATGCAAGAAGTCCACATCGATTTATTCCTAAATATTTTAAAGGGAGGTGCACTTGCGCTTTTGGTTATTTGGACTATTGCTGCTAACATACTTGTATTTGTGGTACTGTATAAAAATCCACATCTTCAAACTGTACCTAATCTATTGGTATTTAATTCGCTTTTTTCCTTCTTTAATCGAATTATTGCAATTCAAAATCGAGATTTTTCTGATATTATAATGAAATATTTTCAGGTTGCTAATCTTGCCTTCAGTGATTTGTGCCTTGGAGTCATCGTTTTGCCCCTATCATCGATCTATACGATCGCAAATGAATGGCTTTTCACATCAACACTTTGCGTCGTTTTTGTATCAGGTGGGTTTGTTTTTTATTATAATTAGCAAAATTAAACATTCTATAGATATTTTGATAATGAGAAAAATCAATTAAATTACAAAATTTTTTCCAACGATTATATCACTTGGAAAGTTTGCATTCAGTTACTGTTCAGAATTAGTGAAATTTGTATATCAACTAGCCTGTATTCAAACGTTTTTTATAAATGTTCATTTTGCAAATTTTTCGAATACAAATACTTTTATAAGAGAAAATATATTTCGCTTTTTTGTTATTTATATCATCATGCAATCTACGTTTTCATTCTAAACTTAACATATTTTTGTCATATTTTTCAATTTTTTCAGTTATTCAAAAGTTATACAAAATTGATCTGTAAATATTTAAGACCTGGTCATTCCAATATTGTTAGAACCGGTCTAGCAAACCATAGTTCAGCGCTACTCAAGACTTAATATAATTTTTTCCTCTTTGTATTAGACAAATTTTGCAGCAGATATCTTATGCTCCACGGCTTCGATCTGGAATTTATCCATTGTTGGTCTAGATCGTTACTGGGCAATAACTACACCAATGGCCTATATAGCTAAGAGGAATAAACGTACAGCAGCTTTTCTGATTTTATCCGTTTGGCTTTCATCCGCTTTGATTAGTTTGGCTCCATTATTCGGATGGAGACAGGCAAGCAGATTTTTTTATTTTAAAATCCATTCTTTTTTTGAATTTATTACTTTTTGGCAGAATTGAACATTTGAGGGCTCTAAGAGGCTTTATCCGTTACCATGGTGAAGAGTTCTGAACAATAGCATTGAATGCTAAAATTTAGCATAAGAGGATATCACTTTATTCACAACATTTTCCTAATATCCTATACATTGTGAAACCTGTTTTTGAATGAACGTTCGTGGTGAAATCTCATATCGCATTAAATTATTTTAATAGAGCGAATGATGGAAATTTCAATAATAAAATTGCGTATTTAAATTTGTTGAGATGAAGGCTGGAAATTACGGAATTCACAAATGCAGCATTGCAATTTTTAGCGGACTCTACGAATTTGAAATTCGTGAGCAAGAGAATGTAAGAAAACCGAAAGTTAATCGGATTAATAAATCTTAGGGAATCTTCTGCAAAAAGTCTTGCATCTCTACTTAGTATAATACTGTAAGTATTTAAAAACTTTCAAAGGTCACAAATTTGAAGTCAAATTTCAGCATTATTGCTGATAACTAATAATAAGCAGGAGGGTCCTGAGAGCTGAACATTTTTATCACATGCATCTTATTTAATTAACAACAAAAATATCCCATTTATTAAAATTTTTTTAGCAAAATTTTAATTGCTATACAATTTGTAGGTTGCTGAACGAGGTAACATGATAGTAGTGAATGGTACATGGCAATGTGTATTTTTGGATTTACCGTCATATACTATTTACAGTGCAACCGGATCGTTTTTTATACCTCTAATTATTATGTTTTTTGTATACTATAAAATTTATCAGACATT